TAAAAGGAAAATGAATGAGGAATGTTTGAAAATAATTTATTTTTATTTACAAGAAAAAAAGAGGTTGCAATTTGCAGTACACTATCGGTTTGTATTATCAACATCGCTGTCGCTATCCTCCGTTTCTTCTTGCACTATAAAGTGTGTAACATCCGGTGGAATTATGTTTCTCTTGTACATCGTAGAGTTGAAGGAGTCCAACATCTGTCTTGTTATTTCATAATTATAACAATTGGTGTTCGTGTTCCTCATATCCAGTCGCACCCGTGTTATCGCCGCGACTGTGTCCGCTTTTAGTCTATTCCTGTCTGCCGTTTCTATCTCATTTATGAGCGAAAAAATTCTTTCAATCTCTGCGTTTGAATGAGTCAAACACAAACAAATTTGTGATACTTGGTATATATTTGTGAAAAATTTTATACCAGCGGTGTCTACTTCTTTATTAATTTCCTCCCAAAAATCAAAGACGTCCAAGTGTATTAAAGTTTCACGGCGTTCATTGCTGAAATGGTATCTCAGCCTGCGCCATTCTTGGATCGTTGCCTCTTCATTGATTTTGGAAGGATATTTCTGTACTATTGCATCCATGTCCTTCTCTGTTCTGTCCCTCATCAACGCGTTCTGTGGCTTTAAGAAGGACAACTGCCTTACAAATTCATCTGTATATGGCAGTCTTTTAACTGCTCCTACAAAAGCCTCTTGATAAAATTTCTGGCAATGTTTGTAGAAATCCAGAATTTTGTCCTCCACATCATCATCGTCATATGAACTCCTGAATTGGTCTAAAATTTTTCTAGTTGTTGCACCTACGTGCATACAATCGAGAGGCATTAAATTATCGGCATTATACGGGTCCACTAGATGTACATTGCCTGCGTCTATAACTCGAGAATGCATAAAATTGCCAGCCAAATTACGCAAAAATCTTTCGCAATCCTCCACAAAGCAGTGCATAACGACTTTGTTCGTCTGAAATAATCTATTGAAAACGTCAAATGTGTCGAGAATGTGGTTTAAGAAATATACGTATGCTTTTGTGTATAATGAGTTCAACTCATTAAAAATAGGTACGGCTGATGTGTACTTGCCGAACAGGCGTGCATCTTCAAGTACCTCCGTAGAAAAGTACCCGAACAGAGCGTCCCATTGTTTGACGACTCTTTGCACACATTGCGCCAAAGCCAACCACCTAGTTCTGGACGGCTGGAGCATCTTCTGAGAGGCCAAATTCATTATTTCTTGGATTTCCTCCAACCCTTGCTGTCTCTTGTCACTTTTGGAGAAATAACTGTACAGCATGTGTAAGAAATCTTCAATGTCCTTCGGTAGGTGTTCACATGCACGACAAGCTACCAAGTGCATCGAGTGGCAAATGCACGGCAATGTCACAACTTCATTTTTATTTTGTTCCAATAACCGGGAAACGAAAGAGTTATGCTTCCCAAGCATAACGGATGCATTGTCAGTACAAATGCCAACAACGTTGGTCATAGGCAAATTGTACTTCTCCATGGTGTATTGGAAACATTTGTACATATAGTCCGCTGTTCCATCTTTGAGGCGAAAATAATCCAATAAATACGTTTGAATAGTGCCTTTGTACGTATATCGTGCAAGAATGCACAAGTTTCTATTGTCAGACACATCCGTACTCTCATCGACGAGTACGGAAAAGGGGTTGACCCTTAATATGGCTGTGACCTTGTCAACAACTGCTTTATTCAAGACATTCTTAATTATTGCACTAATTTTTGTTCGTTTCAGCGTCATTTTGGATAAGATGTTCGAGTCCTTTCCTGCTCGACACATCATCTTCGTAAAATGGTTGTACGAATGGAAACTCCTACTATGTTCTATAATACCTAGAACACATGTGATCTCTGCTTCCTTCACGTCGTCCACAAAAGACGTTGTGGTTGTGGATACAGATTCCGATGACGATTCTCCTGCATGGCATGCTACTTGGGACTGTGCTAATCTCATATGTAGCTTTGTGCGGGAATGCCTGAGCAAATCGGCTTTGCCACCTTCCAACGTCTTCTTGCAAACAATACATTGTGATTTGTATGGATTGTCCTCGCATTTTGCCAGCCATGGTGAAAGTTCCGGATCTTCCAGCCAGGATGGGCAAAATGATTTTCGACGAATCACCTTCTTCGTCGGAGGTGGTGTCATCGTCGTCGATTCATCAGTACCTGTTTTTAAATACGGATTATTTATTACTCAATTTTAAAAAGTAGTATATGATGACAAGATCAATATAAGTTTTGAAGGTAGTAGCATACAAACTCGATAAGTCAAAAAGAGTTCAGTCTGTTGTTTCATTACTTCTTAGTTAAATTTGTTTTTATTTGTTAAATTGAAAATGCATGTTGAAGATAATATAATAAATGTATAATAGTAGACAATGTGCGTTCTCTCCATTTACATTTGTCGTAATCGTTGAGTTTTTCCCGTTAGATGTTTACCTGGGATGAACCATGTATCCAGATAGACGCGGACCCTCACAGTTTTTGTTTACCTGGGATGAACCATCTATCCAGGTACACGCAGACCCTCACAGTTTTTGTCTACCTGCATGAATCATCTATCCAGGTAGACTCGGACCCTGACACTTCTTGTCTACCTGGATACATGATTCATCCCGGGTAAACATCTAACGGGAAAAACTCAACGTTTTCAAAAGAGCCCGTGTTAATCGTTCGAGCGCGCATGAAAATTCAAACGCTTCATACTTTTGTCTACGTACTGTACGCTTACAAAAATTTAACTGACTTTTACATAATTATCCACGCGTATGCCAAAAATAAGAATTTCTTCAAAGCTTCATAGATTATATATGTTACTACTTTCACTTATCACTTTCATAATGTAAATTTCAAATACTTATATTAAATATTATTATATTAAATATCTTACTTGATTCCAATGATTCCACACTCATTTCCTGTTCACTCATCGCAATAATAGGAAAACCGGTTCCGTTAGTAAAGTAACAAACTGTTACAAAAAGAAACGAAGAACAAAGAACAAACAACAAAGCGTAACACGAACACAGTAACAAATCGTAACAATAAAAGAGTAACAAAGTATAACAAGAAAATAATAACAAACTGTAACAATAAACAAGTAACAAAGTATAAAGAGAAAATAATACAAATTTCAAATCGCAAACTGAACTTTCCAAACGTTGAAGAAATGTAATGGTCGCTTCGCTTGCTTTTCGCTTTGTGCCGCAATTTCAGGGTCTTGGCGGCAAGGAAGCTATCCCCCACCATGAACCTTCAACCTTCTTTATGCGCAAGACGCAAGTCACGTGGGAAGCCGGTAGGCGCATCAGGCGCATGTCCAAGAGTAGCGTAAGCGTGCACAAAATACGGTAGTGGGGGTCTCCGGGAGCAGAGGAGGCGCGATTATAATCGCTCCATACGGCAACGCTGGTTGCACTCCGTTTTAGACTCCACTTTGAGCTAGCAGCTGCTACGTACATCGCCACGTGCTCTTCGCATAATACAACTTGTATGAGCGATATTGTTAAAGTTTAAATATATCCTTGTTCCAAATACATCTAAAGTGCCTCATTTATTATACGGGCAGTTGTGGATCTGCCGAAGGATCAAAATCAAAACCCACAATTATACTCATTTTAGCGCCATCTTATGTNCTCCCACTACTGTGCGCCTACCGGCTTGCTAAGTGACGTAGTTTAAAATATTCATAATATATTGATAAATATTCATATAATTCATAATAATAACATAATATATTGTCAAAATACGTCACGTAGCAAGCCGATAGGCACATCAGGCGCATGTCCATCCGTAACGTAAGCGGGGACAAAATACAGTAGTGGCAGAGATGAAAAGGTTTTCATCTCTGGTAGTGGGGGTCAGCCATAGAGATATTATATATAGAGTACAGAGTATAGGCTCGCCTGTAAGTGGAATTGATACGCCGTTAGAAAGAAAACGAAGTAGAAATTTACTACCTCTCTTTGTTTAACAGCAGCAGAGCGCATGCTCTGCATGCATACAGCGTACGTATTCGAACCCATATACACCTATATGAGTACTGCGCATGCGTCGGTAGAGAGAAAGAGGTAGTCATTCTATTCTCGTGTTCCTCTCTCTTTCTATGTATACTATCTCTATGGGGTCAGCACGCGAAGAAGAGAAGAGAGAAAAATCGCTCAATCTGGTAACGCTGGTCGGGCGTCGGCTGGTCGGCTGGTCGGCTCGTGGGGCTCGTATGATCGACAACACCATTTAAATACTGCACAAATGAGTTTTGTTTACATTTAAAAGTTGCTTGATTAAACTTTCTTATATGTTCATAATTTACTGCCAAAGAAAGTAGTATGTACTATTACAACGTTCGTAATTGTATTTGAAAGAAAAAATATTCATAAGGATCAGTGCAACTGATCTTCACGAAGCTAACCTTTTTGTCTACCATAATAAGTTATAACGTAAAATAAAATTAATCCGACGCATTTGTGAAACCCATTTGAGGATCAAGAAATGAATTACGGAAAAAAGTCACCCAGTATGGGTACACCGTCGGTGTATTCTCACGTTACGTCGCGTAGCAGCGCGAACCTGAGATCTTCTCGTTCAATGCGTAGTGTTAAAATACATTGGTACCAAAAACCAATTTTGACACATGCCTATGTATTAGACATCCAAAGGGCCGCTATAGTTGCAGCTGTATTTTCATTGGTAGGTATGAAATTAAATAAAATAACATGATAAATATACAATACAAAAATTCAAAACATTTTGTAATGAATATTTATTTTCAGTGTGTATCTATTTTTACCATTTGTACTTCCATATTCGATTTATACTGCCTTTCTCAAGCTGCACCTGGTTCTACTCACTATGGGTATTATATTATATCATATGAATTTGTTTATGTGGGTAATCGGTTGGTAAGACATTTGATTCTTATTAGTTCCATATTTATATGAATGAAATATCATAAAAATACTAAAGAACTATAATATTACTTCTTATTACAGTTCGGAATGCTCTTGTGATGTTCGCATTGTTCTCTATGCTAGGAGCAGTGGCAGTTTTTGCCACATCTGCAATGTTGATTACTGCCTTGAGAAAAGAATATGAAAAGAAAATGGTTCCATGGCTGTACAGTTTTGCTGCTTTTACAATTTTTAGGCTAGTTGCTTTTGTATTTGCCAGCACAGTAAATGACATGATATTTGGTTACAATATTGCGATGTGTCTTTTGTGGATAATATTTATATGTGTTTCCGTTTATGGATGGTTAATCGTTTATTCTCTATATGTGGAATTAAGTGATCTTACGAGATTAGAAGATCTGGCTCATTTAAGAGTAAGTTTCCTGTCTTTTGTTTATCACTATGCTCAAAAGAATGCAACATTGTCTGATGAAATAATTTTGTCACAGATTGGTACCATGCAGTCACTAAACGCATCTACCACCCATTCCATCGCTGGTTCTCGTCCAACAACACCACATAGTGCAGTATCGACAATGCCTGCGAATTAAACGACATACAATGTATTTAAATAATCCTCGTGCAAGTATATAACGTTATATTTAAAAGCGCACGAGTGTTCAAAGCATATGCAGCGTTATGAAACTGCCAGTGCAAAATGAGTGATGTATATAGGATTACATTCATCCGTCCATTTGCTTTAATATTCCGTCCAGAATGTGAATTAGCAAAAATTGTTAACTGCATGAATTTTTATATATGATTTATATGGTTTTCATCATTGTACGCCTGTTATATATAAATATTTGGAAATAGCAAGGAACTGTATTTAGAGATAATATGTCTAATATAATATACAATACAAAAATTCAAAACATTTTGTAATGAATATTTATTTTCAGTGTGTATCTATTTTTACCATTTGTACTTCCATATTCGATTTATACTGCCTTTCTCAAGCTGCACCTGGTTCTACTCACTATGGGTATTATATTATATCATATGAATTTGTTTATGTGGGTAATCGGCATGGTAAGACATTTGATTCTTATTAGTTCCATATTTATATGAATGAAATATCATAAAAATACTAAAGAACTATAATATTACTTCTTATTACAGTTCGGAATGCTCTTGTGATGTTCGCATTGTTCTCTATGCTAGGAGCAGTGGCAGTTTTTGCCACATCTGCAATGTTGATTACTGCCTTGAGAAAAGAATATGAAAAGAAAATGGTTCCATGGCTGTACAGTTTTGCTGCTTTTACAATTTTTAGGCTAGTTGCTTTTGTATTTGCCAGCACAGTAAATGACATGATATTTGGTTACAATATTGCGATGTGTCTTTTGTGGATAATATTTATATGTGTTTCCGTTTATGGATGGTTAATCGTTTATTCTCTATATGTGGAATTAAGTGATCTTACGAGATTAGAAGATCTGGCTCATTTAAGAGTAAGTTTCCTGTCTTTTGTTTATCACTATGCTCAAAAGAATGCAACATTGTCTGATGAAATAATTTTGTCACAGATTGGTACCATGCAGTCACTAAACGCATCTACCACCCATTCCATCGCTGGTTCTCGTCCAACAACACCACATAGTGCAGTATCGACAATGCCTGCGAATTAAACGACATACAATGTATTTAAATAATCCTCGTGCAAGTATATAACGTTATATTTAAAAGCGCACGAGTGTTCAAAGCATATGCAGCGTTATGAAACTGCCAGTGCAAAATGAGTGATGTATATAGGATTACATTCATCCGTCCATTTGCTTTAATATTCCGTCCAGAATGTGAATTAGCAAAAATTGTTAACTGCATGAATTTTTATATATGATTTATATGGTTTTCATCATTGTACGCCTGTTATATATAAATATTTGGAAATAGCAAGGAACTGTATTTAGAGATAATATGTCTAATAATTAGTTATATCTAATTTTTATAATGATTATCTTCTTGTAACCGAATAAATTTACTAGAATTTTATACTATTTTTTTGTATAAACATTACTAGTATCTTTACCTTGTTAAGTTATTAATTACATTGCAGTTTTATTTAGGACACTATCGCCAAGTTTTGAATTTATTCTTATGGTGCAATTGTGACTCCATTGTCAATTAGCAGATCTGTTTCTGTTCCTGCTAACCTATGAAAAAGAGAGTAGAAAAGGTAAATTAATCTCCCGAGGAGATTCAACAAGAATATTCCAATAGGTATGATCATCTTCGAAAGTATTCCAAATGTGCCTGTCAATATGTACATCGCAATTGCAAGGCACATCTTCTATAAAAATAAAAAGAGAAACCTCTTGTTATAATCATTCTATTTATTTTTCTCTATATTTTTTTCATAGCTATGTTGACTCATTTTGACATGTCTCGTTATAAAACAAAGAGTAAACGATTGTGCAAGTGCATGCATAAGTACTTTCATTTTTTTTTACTAACTTAATTAATTTTGAATGCAGTTTTTCTGAGGCTTTCGGGAATAAACCATATCTTAAGGAAATATTTTCCTGATGCTCCGTCTTCATTGCAGCTGGCATCTTGAGGGATTGCAGATACTAGAAAGTGATTTTTATTCTTATATGTACGCTATCAATCAGGTACTCTATTCCTGCTCTGGTTCTCATTAAAGAGTATTTTGTGATCGGTCAGCTATAGCTGATGGCAGTTGATTGTAAGTAGTTTCATCTGGAACAGTTCTCACGCTGTTTGAGACATTTACTCATACTCCTCCCAGTTTTATCGATAGGCTGTATTATACAACCAAGACTTGAAATCCCTATTTTCAAGCCATTGATGCAAAGAAGTATTTTTTTAGTCACATTCAAATTATTCTTTTTATTAAATGCGACTACACAACTACTACTTCGATTGCGATCTTACCTTACAAACATACTAGTTCATGAAAATGCTTTTGTCAATCAACATGCTACTAAATTGATAAAAGCAGCACATTCTGAATCTGTGATATAAGTTTACAGAAATATACATTTTAGCTTTGTATGAGATTCTCAGATCGGAAAGTACCTCTTTAAATAGAGGAAAGTTCAATGTGAGCTGTTCTGATCATGATTAAATAAAATAGACCAGTATCGAAGTTTGAAGTTTTTGATTTTACGTACTTCCATATCACTGAAAGAATGTTTCAAATGAAATTAAGACAGTCTAATATAAGTACTTACGAGTAAATTACGAATTGTGAAGGATTGTATCTTCATTTCTTAAGAAATACAGGTGGAAACTCTATTCTTGTAAGTAATAGAGTAAAAAACGTATGCTAATTGAATTATTATACACCTGGATCTATTTTGCACTAGTCATGTCAATGTCCCTTACCGTGGGAGTTCAAGACCTTATGTATTCAACTGTAGTTTAGATATAGGGAAGCTAAGTTCGTTTACTGCTATTTTATCTTCAGTATTCACTTACTATTAGAGTGAGCTGTGGTACTTATTACATTCCATTACAAACATCGAATTTTTGAGAATATTTTATTCAATCTTATGAAATAAGCAAAAACACGGGTATTATTTTGATATACT